AAAAAAAAAAAAAAAAAAAAAAAAAAAAAAAAAAAAGAAGAAAATGAAAAAGCCGACAAAAAACCAAAAATACCACAACCTCAAACCAGCAAGACTGCAAGGGGGGAAAAATGGAAGTGGCTGAGCAAGCGGAGGTTTTTTTTTGTTTTTTTTTGTTTTCTCTTTTTTTACTTGAAACAAAGTCTCAGCACAGCAGCCCGATGAGAGGCGATGCCAGGCAGGCGACGGTCTGAGAGAAGGACTGAGGCGCGAGTGCAGATGTGGTGGGTTTTTCTGTTGCTGTTATTACTAATGGGCTTATTCCTCTTGCCTCCCTCCTCCTCCCCCCGCGGGCACCAGCGGCCGGCCGGCGGCGGGGGGGTCCTTGGCTGCCGATGGCGGGGAGCGGAGCGAGCGCCGGCCGCGCAGGGAGTACGGCGGGAGCGAGCGCGGCTCCACCGCCGCGTGTGCGCGCGTGTGAGTGTGCCAGCTCCGTGGGGGCCAGCGTGTGTGCGCGCCCCCGCGCGCGCCCCTTCCCCGCCCGCTGGTGGCGGCGCGCCTCGCTCCGCGCGTGTGTGTGCGCGCGTGTGAGTGTGCGTGTGCCCGGCACCCAGCACGTCCCGGCTCGCCGCGCCTGGGAGGTTCTCCTGGCTTCGGTTCCCAGCGCTGCGCCCCGGCGTAAGGGAAACTCAGAGGCGGGGAGCGAGGGCGGCGGGGAGGGGAGGGCGGGGGGCGGGAAACCCGCACTTGATCTCCTTCCTCTTGTTCCTTCTTTTGAAGCGTAGCCCCCCCTGTCGCAGCCTCGAGAGCTGTCGGTTTGGTTCCGCGCTGCAGATTAACTGATACAGCGCTCCGAGGATAAACCCTTTCAAACTGCCGCCTGCCTTTGACTGGAACAATAGCAATTTTCTCAGCGAGATTGCGATTGACACCGTATTTCGTTCCTCCCCGGGGATAAGGCTGTGCCTGGATCGCGGCTGCCTGGCGTTCGTTTCGCCGCCGCCGCCGCCGCCTGGGCACTGCGCGGCGTGTGGGAGCCCGGAGCCCGCCCGGGGATTCTCGCTGTCGGTCGCGGCCGCCGCGCTGCGGGCGGAGTTTGCAAGGAGGCAGCGGCCCCGTTCGCAGCGGGTGGGGCCGGCACACGGGGATGCTCGCGGAAGGTGCCGTGCCACCGTGGATGAGGTTCCCCCCCCAGCCCCCGTGAATTCGGTATCGCTGGGTTGAACGTGCCTCCCTCCTCCCTCGCCTTTTGTCTGTGTCTCTCGCAGTTGGAGTTGGGCTCTCTACCGGCGTGCGAGATCGCGATAGCAGATATCCGGTGTGAAAATGAGGAGATGACATTTTAATACATAGAGCTGTCAGCCCGCGGCTCGCAGCCAGCTGCTGAGAGATCCCGCCGCTCTCTCGGCGGGGGAACAAACCATCTCCCCCCCTTCAGGGAATGGTGCTCCTGAAGTCCACACGTTATGTGGCTGCCTGGTTCTGAGAAACCGAAGTTTAAACTTCCGGACATGGCCCAAGGCAGTGGTTCCTTAGAACAAGGAATTGTCCACTGCCACCCTAGCCTCGGAAAGGTCTGAATTCCAGTAATACGGGGCTTTTATGACCACAATTACACACTGCACAAATTCTCATCAGAAGTACTGCTGGTCACAAAGCAGTTCTGACCAAAGTAAATGTAAGCACGGTTATGGCTTTTTACTGTACTTTCCATAGGTACAAGCTGTAAACTATGTCCTTGCTGGCTTTTACAAACATAAATAGCCCATGCCTCTGTTGTCAAAATAAAACCAAAAAATATGTGTCCAAACCAAGGGAACTATGAGAAATGTGCATGATCTATACCCAGCAAATATAGCACAATGAAAATTGAACTGTTTATGGCTTAGGGATAATCAGACTGTCTCACGTTCGGTGACACTGTGATATTTGTGGATGATTACCATGTTGCTTGAAATACTTTGAGTAATTCCACTCACTGACAGGTTGATGTGAGCAGAACAAATCAAAGTGTACATACACTGCAGCCTTTTTCATTCCTTTCATTGTAAACGAATAACATGAGGTTAAGTCATAGGGGAAGCCACCCTGAATGAACTCTTAGAACTGTTTCCTATGGCATTGGCAAATTGCAGTTTATAGAATCATAGAATCGTTTGAGTTGAAATGGACCCTTAAAGGCCATCTACTCCAATTCCCTAGCACTGAACAAGGACACCCACAGCTACATCAGGTTACCTGCTTATCTGCACAGTCTGACCTTGAATGTCTCCACCACATCTCTGGACAACCTGTTCTAGTATTTCACTACTTTTATAGTAAAAGCCTCCATCCTTATATCCAATCTAAATCTCCTCTCTCTTAGTTTGAAAACATTTCTTTCTTATAGTCCCCCTTGTGAAAGGCCACTATCAGGTCTCCCTGGAGCTTTCTCTTCTCCTGGCTGAACAGCCTCAGCTGTCCCAGCCAGTAAAAATGAAAATTAATACACACTGTACAGCAAGCAACTGCCTGGATATCCCAAGCCCTAATCTTCTACTTTTTGTTTCTTTGAAGACATGGCAGTGCTGGAAAGGAATCTGGAAGTGTAGACTCTTTGGTCTCTTGTCTGCAAACTGGGAGAAAGGCTGCACATTTGTGAAGAAGAAGCACAAGCTGCACATACTTCTATGTTAACTCTGCAAGTTGAATGGAAGTATGGTAGGTGCAGAACAGCCTGCAGATTTCTTAAGACTTGCTACAATCAGTTGTGCATTCTAAAATAAGTGATACCATTGGTAACTACTCAAATATCTGTCATCCACTTGTGTGTGCTTGCATCCTTGCAGTAAGGCCAAATTCAGAAAGTTTGTATGCCGTGTGTCACACAGGTGCATTTGAAACAAAAGTCTGTATTTTGATAAACTAGAAGCAAAATACAGGATTTGTTCAAGTTCATGAAACATAAATAAATAGAAATGTAGCAATACATTTCTTTAAACTGGTCGTGCAGATCATTTGTATTTGGAATGCTTCTAGCTTATAGGTACATACGTTCATGTGTTCATATGTGTAGAGCAGAAGTGAACTTACATCAACTGTCCAGAAACACTGAGCAGTTCCAGCTTCTGAACCTCTGTTGCAACCCGTGAGTAAAGTATTGATGCAATCCCATACTGTTTCACAGGAGCACAGTCTGAACAGCATGGCACATGTGGTGCCGTCTGCACTACAAAGAAAGTAAGAAGGCACCAAAAAGAAGTGTTATGTCACTCAGTCACAGTGTTGTGGGAATAGGCACAACACAGTGTGAACACTAAATTTATAGTGCTGCTTTCTAGAGTGGATGCAATTGTTTCAGAAAGGTTGGGTTTGATCCAAACTAAGAACAAGGTCTGAGAGTAATATTTTTAAGTAATTTCTGTATGGGTGAAAAAAATGATGCTTACTAAATTTAATATGCTGGATGGAATAAATTAAAGGATTTGCTTAGTTGCTTTTATTTTTCTTCTTTTTTTCTTGACACCTACAGTAGCAGTTTAAGATCTTTGCTATCTCAGTCCTTGTAGCTAGGTGATTTAAGTTCATGTTCAGGTTTTAGTGAGCATAGCACAATTATAACTGGAACTCATTGAGATTTTTGGTGCAAACTGTAAAAGCGAGGCCATAATTTAATGCAGTTGGCTTTGGAGGATGTACTGTTCTGTCACTCAACTGCTGTCATCTTTAGCAGGACTCTTTCCAAGTCAAGGTCACTGTTTCAGCCTGCATTTCTTCTCTTTGGGCTAATAAAAGATCATCTCCAATACTGAAAACTGATGGTTTTTCAACAAAGAATTTATTTAAATGTCTTTAATTTTCTAGCTTAATCCTCTATGATCATTCTCCCCTATCATATCATACGATTAATTGGTTACATCTTTATGCAGTCAGTTACTGACTTAGATGTCACCTTAGTATGCACAAAAATGGTAACAAACATGGCTTATAGAGTCAGGTAAGCATAGAGTGTCATTTCTATGAAGCCTCTTAACTCACATAATAGTGGCACCAATCTGTTCCCTACATCTTGATTTGCTCCAACATGGAAGACCATTCAAAATCCCTTTTGGCAATCACAGATTTTTTTTGTCTGCATCACAGTTTCTGCTGAATAACACCAGATTTCTACAAGAAGGCTACACCTCTGCTATAAGTCAGGAAAAAAAATTAAACCAATTCTGGTATGACCATCCCAAGTGAAATGTTATTTAATTTAGTCTGAAGCAAAGAAGTAATATGGAAGATGCTGGCCATCATAGCTATTACAAAATTCGATAAATAACTAACCAAGAAGAAAAGAAAAAGACTTTTTTTTTCCTCTTCCCTCCCCTCAGACAGGCTGGGAGCAAGTGTAAATTGGAAATTGTTTTATAGAGTGATGTTTACTTCCTAGTCCAGTGCGTTACAAATTAAGAAATACTGCATTTCCCTACTTACTTCAGATTTTAAATGAATTGAACCTCTGTTAATTTTCTCTGTGCCTTCTAGAGGGAATACACATTTAATAAATATTAGATTATATTGTATTATCAATTGAAAGATCTTTTTTTAAAAAGCAAGAGAGTTGTGATTACATTGGAATTGTATTAAAATGCTTTGTATTTTCATAAATAATTAACGATGCAGTACCAGTAGATGGTGCTCAAGAATATATAGCATAACTGATAGGTAGGGGTGGTTAAATGTTTCTATTTAAAAACAAACAAACAAAAAAATTAGAGAAAGCACTGGTTTTCCATTGAAAAGTTGATTTTTCATAAGAAAACGATGTCCTGTTTCAAATTTCAAACAAACTTTCATTTGGTTGATGATTTTCAAGTTGAAAAGGTCAACTATTTCCTTGCTTGTTTGTTTTCTTTATTTATATATCTTCCTCAGTAAAGACTTATCAGAACTTTGAAATTCTGTTAATCAGTTCAAATATTTTAGTATTGTCATTCAGCCACATTAGGCTAGAAACAATGAAATTAATGCAATATTGACTATGGAAGTGTGAGTCATGGTAGTCTGAAGCAGATCTGAGGCCTGTGCAGCACTCTTGCCTCAGACAGTGACCTTTGACTCAGCACAGGGATTTTTTTGAGGATTTGGCTTCATGAAGTGTCATGCTCATCTCCAGCAATTAGAGATCTGTATAAGTCTCCAAATAAGTTTCAGTTTCACTTGCAATACTCTTCACTAGTTTAACTTAATCCATTCTTGTTTATTTGCATAAGTGGTCCAGTAATTTTCAGTCTTACATTTTCCTGTCTCAGTATTTTCA